AGTAGACGAGAGATGGGAACAACCCAAGTGTCCACCTACACATGCAGCGGGATATCATTCAGCCTTGAAAAGGAAAGACATTCTGACACCTGCTACGACGGGAGTGAAATCTGGAGATGTACTCAGTGCACCCAGCCAGTCACAAAAGGACAGATATTGTCATTCCACTTATACTAGGTCCCTAGAGCAGTCAGGTGCGTAGAGATGGAGGGCAGTAAGGTGGGTGCCAGGGGCTGCGGGAGGAGAGGATGACGAGTCAGTGTTTCATGGGGACAGAGTTTCAATTTAGGAAAGTGAGTATGTTCTGGAGAGATGGTGGTGATGTTCACACAGCAATGGGGATGTACTTACTGCCACTGACTTGTATGCTTAAAAATGGCCGAAATGGTACATTTTATAACTATTTTAAAAATATGTATTTCTTCTGAATTGTCTCTTCATGCCATTTGCTCCGACTTCTATCGAATATTGACTAGGATTTGGATGTTCATTCTTTGTTAGATGCATTGCAAATATTTTCTCCCAATCTGAATATTTCTCAGGTATTTGTTTAAATAAAAAAACTAAAAAAAAAAACCCTAAAAATGTTATGAGATCAAATATTCATTCAGCCTTTTCCTTTGTGAGTTCTGGATTTATTACTTTGCAGAGAATGGAAGCCCTGTTTTATAATTATACAACTCTTCTATACTTCCTTCTAGTACTTTCAGAATTTTTCTGTATTGGGTGTTTTAAATCTATTGGAATGTATGTCCACGTGTGGTACAAGGTAGAGATCTAATTTATATTTTCCTAAATGGATACCTGATTGGGCTGAGACTCTTTTTTTTTAAATTATAGTGAGAGAGAGAGAGAGAGAGAGAGAGAGAGAGAGAGAGAGAGAGAGAGGCAGAGGGAGAAGCAGGCTCCATGCTCCGGAAGCCCGACGTGGGATTCGATCCCGGGTCTCCAGGATCGCGCCCTGGGCCAAAGGCAGGTGCTAAACCCCTGCGCCACCCAGGGATCCCTGAGACTCTTTTCTGAATGGTCTTTTCCTCAGTGATTTAGAATGCCACTCTACCGTATTAAATCTATTCTGTGTATTCTGTTCCATTGTTCTTTGTGTCTGTTTCTGTTCCAAACTCATATTGTTTTTATTACCATACTTTTTTTTATTACCATAGTTTTATAGGAACTTTGACACCGGGTGGGACAAGGCTTCTCTTATATTCTTTTATTAAAAAATTATCTAGTCTCATAATTTTTCTGATGGTCTTCATTGTTTTTAAAAGTTTCTTTTAAAAAAAAAGATTTTATTTTTAAGTAATCTCTGCACCCAACATGGCACTTGAATTTACAACCCCAAGATCAAGAATTGCATGCTCTACTGACTGAGCCAGCCAGGTATGCCCCTGATGGTCTTTATTTATTCTTTTCTAAAGATTTTATTTACTCATTCATGAGAGACAGAGAGAGGGAGGCAGAGACATAGACAGAGGGAGAAGCAAGCTCCCTGTGGAGAAGCTGATGCAGGACTCGATCCCAGAACTCTGGATCACGACCTGAGCCGAAGACAGATGCTCAACCACTGAGCCGCCCGGGTGCCTCCCCACCCCTGATGGTCTTTAGAATCAGTTTTCCAATTCCTGATGAAAATTCTACTGGGATTCTGATTAGAATTGCATTACATTTATTTAGGTAAAAAGAACTGACACCCTTAAGCATTGACTTTTCTTAGGAAGCCTGCTTTCTCATTTATTCAGATCTTTTACGTCCTACAGTCAAATCTTATATTGTCCTTTATGAGAAAAATGCTCATTTTCATACTGACTCAAGACCCATTTTGAGTCTCAGAAATTCGGAAGATCAGTGTGCTCCAATTACCCAGAATCCATTTACTCTCATTTCTAAGAGACCACTTTACTTGTATGAGTTCAATTAAATTTGTTGAACTTATTTAGTTCACTTTGGCTTCAAAGATAAGTGAGATAAGCAGAAGTGAAGCCAAGAGTGAGAAATTATGCTACAACAGTTAAGATTCCTTTAAAAATATTTTTCTGTGTGAAAACCCAAATCAGCACATTTGATCATCTTGCACATTTTAATATGCAGCCACATCCTTACAGACACATCCAAGCATGCAAGCTTTGCAATGCTTCCTCTCTCTGACTCATGCATAACAGATTAGTGTATTTAAAATTCTTCATACGTTACTTGAATTTATCATTAGTCTCTATACATTTTTCAACTTGAATTTTCTGCATTTAACGTAAAGTCCTTTCAGAGGTAAAATTTAATATTAACATAACTGAGTTATAAATTACACCTGAACTGCAGCAGTAATCCTTACAGTTAAGGGTATAAAGACACATGGATGGACTCACAGCCATATCCTAGTAGGATAACACAGCCAGACCACAGAAGGAGCTCTCATGTTCAATGCTCAACTTAAAAGTTAGTTAAATCAAATGTTTTTTTTTTAAGATTTTATTTATTTGAGATAATACAAGCAGGGGGAGTGGCAGGCAGAGGGAGAGGGAGAAGCGGACTCCATCTGCAGCAGGGAGCCCCACATGGAGCTCGATCCCAGGACTCTGGGATCACGACCTGGGCCAAAGGCAGATGTTTAACCCACTGAGCCGCCCAAGTGCTCCTCAAGTGTATTTTCTGAGGCTTTACTCAACAACCTATGTTGTTGTAAAGGGGGAAAAATCCACCAGAAATCTAGTTATCGCAACCCGGGAAAATCACTGAGGAAGAGCATCAGCCATTTATTGGGCACCTTGTGCTAGACACTGCTGTAGCTCCTCACTTCCGAGAAAGGCATTAGTAGCACTTCAGGAAAGTCCTATTTCCAGATCTTCCTTTTTGGGATTACATTTATCCGCAAAAGGACGTGCTGAGTGGGAACAGCAGATGCTGCGACGGTCCCTAACTCAGGTCTGCTGCGATGGTCCCTAACTCGGGTCTGCTGTGATGGTCCCTAACTCAGGTGTGCTGTGAGGTCCCTAACTCAGGTGTGCTGTTACAGTCCCTAACTTGGGTCTGCATTTGTACCACGTAGGGACTATCTTTTGCATCCCTGTGCTGTGCTTTCCTTCCTCCCCAGTGCCCATCACTAATCACATCACTTTACATTTCCACACCCTCAGGGAACCACAAAACACCTACTTAAAAAAAAAAAAATCAATGTGGAATCAGCAACTGGAAAGTAATGTGTTGATTCTAAAGGAGGAACTGACCACACTAGATTTTTTTAAAGTAGCTTCTTGGTTCAAATCAATCTGCATCCAACCCTGACAATATGTAAACTTCAAATATAAACTTTTTGGAGCTTTTATTAAGTGATGTAGATTTTTGCTTCCTGTGTATTTTATTTTCCTATTTATAGATATTATTTTTAAAACTATCCATCCTTATTTGCTTCAAAATAATATGGACGGCCAAAATTGGCAATGGTTTTGTTTTTTAGATTTTATTTACTTATATGAGACGGGGGGGGGGCATGAGTGAGCGCACAAACGGGCAGAGGGAGAGTGAGAAGCAGGCTCCCAGCTGAGCAGGAAGGATTGGCAATGGTTTGATGGCTGTTGGGATCGGTTGACTGGTACATGGGGGTTCAGAATACGGTACTGCTTTCGAGTATAGGTAAAGTTATCCCTAAGGGGAAAAAACTCCACCTGTAATGTTCAAATTATGGCATAGCCACATGAATTATTTAGCAAGTATTAAACCATTTTACAAATAAAGAAAACCTAAGGACACATGAAAATTTCAACATAACTAAAATAACTACTTCTAGGGATGCCTGGGTGGCTCAGCTGGTTGTCTAGTAAATGAATTATGGATGTCCTTGGCTTTGTCTGCATTTCCTGAATTTTTTTCCCCCAGCAAGTATGAATTGCTCTACTTCAATTATATACATAATACACATTTCTTCTCCCTGTACCAGCTCAGTCCCCCTAATTTTCGTCCCTATGCCCACATTTTTATTTTTTTTAAGATTTTATTTATTCATTCATGAGAGACACACACAGAGAGAGGCAGAGCCACGGGCAGAGGGAGAAGCAGGCTCCATGCAGGGAGTCCGACATGGGACTCGATCCTGGGACTCCAGGATCACGCCCTGAGCCAAAGGCAGATGCTCAACCACTGAGCCACCCAGGCGTCCCCTACAAATATTTTTACACACACTTCCCAAACAAGACTACAACAGGTTTTCTCCAGGGCCTCCATGATTAGCAGGAGTCTTGGTACTAGGCAGCAGGTTCTAGGACTGTTAGCCCTCTGATTAACCCACATTTGAAAGGTCAGACTCAGCCTCTGATGAGCCAAGGGAGTGAAAGGTTCTGCACTGGTTTTACGTAAAGTTAACAAATTGAAAACTTATTTGCTTGCATTATTAAAAAGCTATCTTCCCTATCTTTTTGTCTAAATTGATGTCCATTCAAGCATTATCATTCAGTTCTTAATGCTCAGAACCAGTTTAGAGAGATTCACTTTTTGTAGGTAATGAGCTTAGAAAATATGCCACAGGGTGCTGCTGGCTGGCTGTTGGTAGAGCATCCAACTTTTGATCCTGAGGCCAGAGTCCCACACTGGGTGTACAGATTACTTAGAAATTTAATTCTAAAAATATGCCTCAGGGCGCCCGGATGGCACAGTCGGTTAAGCATCTGCCTTCAGCTCAGGTCATGATCCCAGAATCCTGGGATCTGGCCCCATGTCAGGGTGGGGGTGGGGGCGAGGAGAGTATGTGTGTCCCTGTTCAGCAGGGTGCCTGCCACACCTTCTCCTGCCCACTAGTGCTAATAAAATCTAAAAACTATGCCTGAGTGGTTTGTTTTCTTAAAAATTGTTTTTCTTAAGAGAACATCCAAGTGAAGGTTCATTTTTTTCCTGAAAGGATAATAAAATGCTCAAGGCAAGTAGGATCTAGAAGTACCTCCATTCCAATTTTCTAGAGAAGACAATCTCTTGTAGGTATCCGTAAGTAAAAACAAAACCAACCCTTATACTACTTACTTTTTAGAAAACCAGTAAGTCTCTTTATTATTAGCAAGGATTTCAGAACAACAGAGATCTCCCTGTGACTGTAAACGACAAACAACTGTTCCTAGGGATAGGGGGTTGGGTGGTACAGGTGAACAGTGCCAGACAGGTTAAAGGGTTAAAATTCTAGGGTTTTCGTCATGGGTTTTTAGACATTTTTAACTGCTACCAAGAGAGGTGGCTAGAGAAATTCTGGTTCAGTAAGATTGTATAAGGTAAACATACAACCAAGAAAGGTTTTAGTCCAATGCTTAAATTTACGTATCCACAAACCCGTGCTGCCTATACTTAGAAATTAGTGACAAATCTGTTGATCAGGGTCCCAGGCCCTCCACAGAGGGACGATGGGGAACGTGGCTCCTAGACCCCTCCCACTCCCTCAGGGTCACCACAGCAGCCCTCCTTTGGTGTCCGTTCATCTCAACATCCTCTTTGCATTAACATCCTGTGGTTTCACTGAAGGTGTCACACTTCACCACTCCCGATTGAAGTCTGCTCAAAACGGCCATTCCTGTGGTCGTCTTTGCAGAGCTGTGATTCCCTCACAGCACTTGTTTCTAGAGCATTCTTGTGCCCCACCCCCAATCATTCCAGGGCAAAATAACAAGTATAGTGAAGTTTACACTGTTTCAAGGTTTCTCATTCGGTGGTGACCTCAGCCTGGTGCGTTCTCTGGCCCTGTGTTTGCATTTCCCAAAATGCACTAGCAGGTGTCCAATACCACCTCTGACGAAAGTGCAATATGTATGAAAATCTCAAAAATATGCAAACACAAACCACACTAGATATACTTTTAGCTTATCCAATACTTATCTCAATATGAAGCACAAATAATTACATATTTAGTTTGCTTCAGGATGCTGGACCGTTTGCCCATTATTAAACCGAATCAGGCACACAAACATCTCCCAAGAACTTTGTACATGTTCAAGTATTACAAAAAAACTAAATATTCCACTTTCAAATTTTAAGAACACTTTAGAAGAACAAGCGTTGTAATTCTTTCAATAAAATTTAAGCCAGAACCTAATTTATGTGCTTCAAGAAATTCTTTCATAATTTTTTATTGGTTGTTCTGAGGATCAGTACAGACATTTCAATTTGTACACAATTCTTAACGTACGTACCGAAAATCTAAAAAATCATGTAGTTGTGATCCTTTTCTAAGTTATTCCAGTGACCTTCCAGCTTAAAATTTGGAGGCAAATTTTCCTTAACAGTATATCAAGTACCAATATCTTCAAATGCTGATACACTGTTATTACTTTGTTAAGTCCCATTAATTCACAATTTAATATCATATACACTACATATTCAAATTTTCAATCTTGCACAGCACATTAACAGTTACTAGAAAAACTGGACTACCACAACCAAGATGTTACAGAGTGCACAAGAATTCTGACAAGGAGAGCCAAGATCTAGGAGTGGTTTTCTTTAGGAAACAATTCTACCAAAAACAACATGGGAATAGAAGAAATTTAAAATGTTCAAGACATATTAAATGCACGACTGACTCCAAATTGCCATTTAGTATGCTTGGTATTATAGGATATAAAAACTACCCCGTCTATGGAATGTTGAGCTGACACCCAAGACAATCAAAGCCTCCCACATTCAATATCCCACTATTTTCTGGTTGTACCAAAAAATAAACAACCAGCAAATGATTTCACCTCTTAAAAAAAAGCATTTACACTTAAAAAATGGGATGAGGTGGGATTCCCTCCTTCTTAAAAATGTTTCTAGAGCTACTAAAAAACTTGCCATTTACAAAATAGTTGATAAAAATATTCCTCTGGATTGTACAAGAAGGGAGACAGGGACCACTGATAAGACATGGTATATGGTATTAATCAGACTTGGCTTCTTTCTCTCCTGCTTCATCGGAGGCTGGACTCTGCAAACGAAAGGAAAAATAATGATCAAACATTTGATTTCTGTAGGACTGTTATGATCTTTGAGGTCTTTAACATTTAATACAACATAAATTTTACTTATATATAATTATCAGGTCTTGAAAATACAGTTGATCCTCATTATATGTAGATTTCACATTCGTAAATTTGCCTCTTGACTAAAACTTATTGGTAATGCCAGAATCAATACTCATGGCACTTCCATGGACTTAAAACATTTTTTGAGTTGCCCAACATGCACACTCCCATTCCCAGCTGGGGTGGTTGTTTCCGGTCTAAACTAGTGCCTTTTTTGCAGTTTAAGTAGTGCCACACATTTCACTTTTTTTTTTGTGTTTCTTGATGATACTGACTAGACAAGTATAATACTGTCTACTACAGCTAAGCACAAGAAGGTTGTGGTGTGCCTAATGGAGAAAATACACATGTTGGATAGATTCATTTAGGCTTGACTTACAGTGCTGTTTCTGTTAGCGCTGAGGTCAGTGCTAATGCATTAATAGCATGTATTCAACAAAAACACCTAAAATAAGGTTAGGTCTCTAGGGGTTGATGGAAATGTGCTAAGAGTGCTGCAAAAATCTAACCCTGTATTTCCTCCATGTGCCACTATTCAGTATTCAATCTCCTAGAGCACAACTACCATGAATAACAAGAGTAGTGTGATTAACATGTATTACAAGGTCAAATTCTTCCCTTATAACTAGATTAGTAATCTCATCTTAACATGACATAATATTTGATGTGTGGTTAGAACTACCAATTAAAAATAAATTGTGATTAGATTCCACAAATTAGAAATACGTATTTGGTTAAGACTGATCTTTAAATACAAAAGTTTTTAAAATACCCCAAATTATTTTTCTAGGTTCAACCAATATAACATTTTTTAAAAAGAAAGCTTGGCTTAAGAAAAGTCATTTATCAAAACCTGTAGCCTACTTAAGAAAAAAATCTCTATGACTTAAAATGGTAAAGATAAGGACACCAAGTCTTTTTATTTGCTCGATCTAAGCTATTATTTAGTCTTAACACAAGTAGTCATTTTCAAGAAAAATGGACTTTTTAAAAAAAGATTTGAAAGAGAAAAAGACCATGAGTAACAGGGGCATAGGGAGCCTGACATGGGGCGCCATCCCACGACCCTGGGATTATGACCAGTGCTGAAGGAAGATGCTTAACCCAGAGTCACTCAAGCGCCCCAAGAAAAATGGGACTCTTTATCAGAAATGAATTGGGAAAAATGTGTTAAATGAGGAATGGATTCAAAACATTTCTGAAGCACTATCCAGAAAATAAAAGCAAGATTACTACAGTTCTATAGATTTTTTTTTTTTGGGAGGGGGAGCAAGCAGGCCTAGGATATTGTTTAAACAAAGTCCTAAGGTTATGTGAAAGTATTACACCATTAGTAAATTAAAACCTTTTAAAAACTCACATTAGTAATTATAGTAATGAACCCTGTATATAACATATATAGTGAATCTGTTAGTGGTGAAATTCCGAGCATATTAAAATTTCTTGCTCACTCATTTAAAAAAGAAGCCCTCTACATATATATTTTCAAGTATGACCTCATTCATAAAAAAACACCTGTCTATTCACTTGGGAGTTATTGTACCCAGCTTTGTTAATATTCTGACAAAGACTCTATTATTTGCTTCAGAAAAATATATAACTTATTATCTACTGTTCAGAGTCCAAATGAACACACACTTCTGACCTCCTCGTTCTTGGTTTCTCCGTTTTCTGCAGGTAAGTCTTCTTTCGTTTCTTGGTTAGCCACTTCAGCCTGTTTTCCCTTTGCTCCCCTTTTCCCCTTTGTTTGCACTTTTTTGTCTGAAGATTTATCCTAGGATACAGCAAGAGTGTATTTTAAGTATAAACCTGGCACTTACGCACTTGCTATAGACACAGTATGCCCAACAGCTGCAGTGTTAATGGTGGGTTGCACAGCACATCTCTTACAGAAGGCACGTGAAAGTCCACCTGCACCAGTCAGGACCACAGTGTATGCCCAGAACTGTACCCGTACTCTCTCATCATCAAGCCTCGTTAGACTTACCTTGAGAAAACCTGAAGCCTGAGCTACACTCCTCCACCTGCTCAATCCTCCCCTATTCTCCCGAGTTCCACGTAACTGAACCAATGAGGGGAAGAACAGTGTAACCCTACCCATCCCCAAAGTTCTTTTAAGCTTGAATAATCATCAAATTGTCAAATGATCACTGTCCTGACAAGACATTCACCCTCACAGTAAGACCATTCACCTGAAAACAGCACCATGTTGTACAGTCAGGCTGCCTATCCTGCTACAGCTAATCCCTTGGTATCATGTAATGAGTAGCTAAGAGGATCAATTTTGAGTTTATGGTTTTCATTTACATGTTGGAAGAATGTGAAAAGCACACATTAGTATAAGGATAACGTTCAAAACTTAAGCCACCGTTAAGGAACATAAAACTGTTTTTGGATACCACTCATCAACAGGGAAGAAGTTTAAACATTCAACATTTATACCCTGTAAATAAAGAATGCACCAACAGCTAAATTCACTCAGATCACCAGTGAGTTGTATCGAAGACCCCTATCAGTACTGACCAATATTTGTTAAAAAGCCACAAAGACGCAGGTAGACTTCATAACTTCAATGCTAATAACAGTGGGGAAAAAAACAGCGTCATGTATTCAGAACCAAAGATGGCATTCCATGTGTAAAACAACAGGACAGCTGCTGATAGCACAGCATCTTTAGAATGAACCGTAAGTTGTTATTTCTTAGTGAGCTCAATGCCCAAAGTGGAGCTCAAATTCACAACCCTGAGACCAAGGGTTGCAGGCTGTACCCAGAGCCAGCCGGGCGCCCCAGGATAAACTATCCATTACGAAAACATACATATTGGGATAGCACTCCTCACACTGGTACCACAAAGTGTCACAATCACCTCTGTGTTTAAAAGCTATTTTTCGAACACCAATAAAAATTAATTTATTAAAAAAAATAAAATTAAATTCAAAAAAAAAATAAAAGCTATTTTTCTATAATCTGATTTCTTTAGACTTACTAATTTTGTAACCACTATGGCAATAGTATAAAAATGTAAACACTTAGAAGTGAAAATAAAATATGCAATAATCTGCGCTGAGAGAATAGCGCTGAGAGAATACTGCTTTTTAACTACTAAGAGCAGGATCAAAAAAAAAATTAGTATTTTCCTTAGCTAGGTTTCAATCCTCAAAATATTTCTAAAAAAAATTCTACAAGTCACAGTCTCACAGTGGTATGCATATACTTTGAAAACACTGCGCCATGGGATCCCTGGGTGGCGCAGCGGTTTGGCGCCTGCCTTTGGCCCAGGGCGCGATCCTGGAGACCCGGGATCGAATCCCACATCGGGCTCCCGGTGCACGGAGCCTGCTTCTCTCTCTGCTTATGTCTCTGCCTCTCTCTCTCTCTCTCTGTGACTATCATAATTAAATTAAAAAAATTAAAAAAAAAAACACTGTGCCAACGTTCTAATCTATTCATCAAAAATTTACCTTACATTAAGATTTTAAACTGGATCGATCAAGAATTATAGAAACTCAAGTTAAGCAAAGCCCCCCAACTCCACATTTTTCCTTTGGCAACATGGAGTTGACAAATTTGTTCCTTGGGGAACAATGACACAAAGAGTCACCTGTTGGCCTCAGAGAAAGAAATGTGTTCATTACACCTGATGTCCTAATACCAACGGAGAGTAAAGTTTGAATATTTTCATTAAAAGTTTTGGTGGCGGGATCCCTGGGTGGCGCAGCGGTTTGGCGCCTGCCTTTGGCCCAGGGCGCGATCCTGGAGACCCGGGATCGAATCCCACGTCGGGCTCCCGGTGCATGGAGCCTGCTTCTCCCTCTGCCTGTGTCTCTGCCTCTCTCTCTCTCTCTCTCTGTGACTATCGTAAATAAATAAAAAACCTTTAAAAAAAATAAAAAATAAAAGTTTTGGTGGCAAATCAAAATATAGGAAGAGGTAAATAAGGAAGAAAAAGTTAAGTGGGAAATGGCCATAGTACTACCACCAATTGGTTTATTAAAAAAAAAAAAAAATTCCAAAGACGAGTAATAATGATACATAGTTCATTCCATCCTTAGGCAGCAAGATCGGCTTGCTTGTTATGTTCTGGGCCTTCAACTTCAAAAAAGTTCCTGTTTTACTTAACTTTTTACAGAGAATTATGGTTTTATCTTCTGTCGTGAGAAACACGAAGTTACACTATGCTTATACTTGTTTGGAATACTTAGAAAAAAAAAACTTTCTATTGGAAAAAAGGAAAAGTTGGGACTTTTTTTTTATTATGATAGAGAGAGAGAGAGAGAGGCAGAGACACAGGCAGAGGGAGAAGCAGGCTCCGTGCACCGGGAGCCCGGTGTGGGATTCGATCCCGGGTCTCCAGGATCGCGCCCTGGGCCAAAGACAGGCGCTAAACCGCTGCGCCACCCAGGGATCCCCCAAAGTTGGGGAGACTTAACACAACCTTCTGTTCACCGTTTAAATAACTGGAAACAAAACCTTTGATGATGCAGTGCTAGGCTACCAGCAGTACTTTTAGAAAGGGGACTTAACACCCCCCCCCAAGGGGGGTCTAACTCCTCACAAGTTCTGAGAGCACAGAAATTAATCACACCATGAATTCCCCCGGGACCGTGACAGCTTCGCCGAGGGTGGCTTCACGGTCACACCCCAAATCAAAGTTACCAGGATTTACATACGCTGTGCTTCCCTAACTTAAGTTTTCAGACCTTACAGACCCACAAGAACAATTCCTTCCGAAGACCGTGGGTGCGAACCAGGCCATCATGAGCCTATCCCAGGGAGACCCCCTCTAACGGGGTCTAGAGTCAGCTCCGAGTTTGCTCGGGTAAACCGTGGCGTGTGCTCCTCCTGTGATCCACAGTTACGGGCCCTCACCGGCGCCATCACGTGCGGGGCGCACCCAGGTGTTCGCACCCACACACCGGTGGCCCTGCACCTGGGCTGGAGCCCTTGACCCGCAAGGACCTGCACTTTCCCTTTCTCCGGGTCTCCACCGCGGCTGAGCCCCGACCAGGATGCGCACCCGCAAGAAGGGATTTCCCTCCTCGGCTGCACTTGCTGGCACCTCCGGGCGTCTCAAGTCTTCCAAACTCTGCAGCGCAATGACCATGACACGTTATATTCCCACAAAACACCACAACGACACTGACCTTTTTTTTTTTTTTTTGGACCCAGGCCTGAAAACAAAACAAAACAAAACAAAACAAAACAAAAAAGCCGGCCAGGGCTCCAACTCTAAAATATGAAACTCAAGTAGGGAACACAGGAAGGGACCTCCGCAAGTCTGGTTGCGACTTCCAGAGTCACACAGTCCGGGGCCGCTAACCGAGTCCCAGGACCTCAGCCCCCGGGGACGGCTCGTTAGTTTAGAAATAAGGCGCCGGGAGGCGCCGGGCACCGCGGCGCTCAGAAGTTGGGAGCCTACCTTTCCTGCCGCCTTTTTTGGCTTCGTTTCCACTTTTGCGGGAGCAGGTTTCTGAAAGGCAAAGGCGGCACTGAGTGTCTTCCCCGGGCACGACCCCACGGAAAAGACCCGGTTGCGGGGCTCGCTCTACTTACAGCGGACAACCTCGCCGACCTCCTCTTGGGCTTCAGGGCGGAAAAGGAAAAGGACACGGAGTGAGGGGGCGAAGCGCCACGGGGACCCTCCCGGGGCAGGGGCGCGGGCAGGGGCACGGGCAGGGGCGCGGGGCGGGCTCTTACCTCCTCCTTGGCCGCGCCCTCGGCCGAGCTGACCTGCGGGAGCAAGCACACGCGCGAGTGGGGCGCAGCCCGCCAGCCGAAGCGCCCGCGCGCCCCCCGCGCCCCCCGGCCCGGCCCGCCCCGCGCCCGCCAGAACAATGCCCGGCCGCGTGACGTCAGCGGCTTCCCGCCGCCGCGTTCGAATCTCCCACCCGGCTCCTCAGCCGCCGAACGTTCCAGAACGCCGCGCCCGGGCCGCCGCCGCCGCCGCCGCCGCCGCCGCCGCCGCGCACGCACAGCGCGAGGGCCCCGCCCGCCCTCCGGCCGCCGGGCCCCGGCCGCCCGTCAGGCCCTGCGCCGCCCTGGGCCGCCCTGGGCGCGGCGGGACCCGGGCCCCGCGCGGGCGGGCGGCCGGGCGCGCGGGCGGGCGGCCGGCGCTCACCTTCCTCTTGGGCATCGTGGCGGCGGGGCGGGCGCGTGCCGGGTGCCTGCGGGCCGCCGCGCGCCGAGAGCCTCCGCGAAGCTGGGCTGCCTGGGCCGCTGACGCTCCTCCCGCCGCCCGAGCTGCTGCGACCCGCGGCGGGGGCGGTGGGAGAACCGGATGGAACCGGATTGGGAGCCCGCCCCCTCCTCCCCCCGCGTCCCCCGGCCGCGGGCTCCCCCTCCCCCCGGCCGGGCCGCCCCCCGCCCCCGCCCCCGCCCCGCCCCCGCCCATTGGCTGTGGGGGCCCACCGCGCCGCGGCCCGCGCCCCGAATAGGTGAAGCGGGCCGTCACTCGACCACGGCGCCCCGCCCCCGCGCCCGGCGCCCCCACCCCCGCCCGCCGTCTCGCGGGGCCCCAGACCCAGGCGAGGGGGGCGGGGCCCCAGAGGCCGCGCTCACCTCACGGTAGTTTGTTTGAAGCCGAGCCGCAAAGTGCGGTCTGCGCGCCGATTGGCGGAGGCCCGCCACGTGATCGCCCGGTGGCTCCGCCCACAAGCTCCCCGGTTACCTGGGCGCCCCGGGAGCCTCCGGGACCCCGCCCCGGCCCCTCTAGGGTGAGCTGCGGTGCGACGTTAGAGGTAGTCTGGTAAGCCGGGAGGAGACTCACAATGGACTCGAGTACGAGCCAGTTTCTCCCTCCTCGGCTGGCAGGAAAGGCCGTCGGTGGGCCCCGGCTTCGCAGGCCTCCGGGAAGCGGGTCCTAGTGCGCAGGCGCCGGAGGGGAGGCCGTGGGAAGGAAAGCCGGCGCGCGGGCTCGGCGCGGGTGCCACTGCGCAGGCGCGGTCTTTGCGACGTTTGGGGCCTCGGGCTCCGCTGCCGGCTTGCCCTGGGTCGCCTCCCGGACAGCCCCGGAGAGCCCCGGAGACCCCGGGGACCCCGGGGCTGGCAAGCTCTCTCGCGCTCAAGCGAAGCGGGAAGCACGCCCACCCGCTCCAGCCCGTTTTTAGCCAGTTGCTCACTTAAGCACGTTTTTAAGGAAAATGCATCAGGCGGGGGGCTGGGTGGGGGGGTGGGGGGGGAGGAAGGGTCGGGGCCTGGGGTCTGAGCTGGGGTCCCCGGAGCCACGGAGGTCGCATGTTACAAGGACGAATCGTGCGGGCTTGCAAGTTGATAATCAACATTGTCGGCTGGAATTCTTGGAAAGAAGGAAACGTAGAAATACTGTGCGTCCAAAAGATCGGAAACAGGAGCTGTGCCTCATTTAGAGAGGCCGGGTAAACCGATGCAAGGGTGAGCTGCCACAGAGAGGGGTGAGGCCGCTCTTGAATGAGGAAGGGAATTTTGAAAACCACTGGACTATGCACCTCCTTTTTTTTTTGTGATTTATTTATTTATTCGTGAGAGGCCCAGAGAGAGGCAGAGACCTAGGCAGAGGGAGAAGCAGGCTCCATGCAGGGAGCCTGATGCAGGACTGGATCCCAGGACCCTGGGATCACGACCTGAGCCATAGGGAGATGCTCAAACACTGAGCCACCAAGGTGCCCCCCAGATTATTTGTTTAATTGGCCAACATAAGCATATGAAGCGACCGAAACTCCATAGGAAAACCACTTGGCATTATCTTTTAAAGGTAAGCAAGCAATCTATGATTCAGTGATTCACTCCTAGAAACATATCCAACAAAATTGCTTACATCTGTTCTCCAGGAGACATAAAGTGGAGTATTCGTAGCTAACCTATTTTCATAGGCCCAACCAGCGGCAGCCTAAATGCCCATCAGCAGGAGAGTGGATGAATGAGTGGAAGACTATCAGCCGTGACAAAGAGCTCTCTGCAATTACACCCAGCAAGTGGATGAATCTCATAAACACTACGTTGAAAGCCAAGATGCTAAATCCAAAAGAATACGTAGTGTGGTTCCATTCATATAATGTACAAAGGCAGGCAAATCTAGTCTGTTAGAAGTCAGGGTATTAGTGCCTCTTTGAGTGTGGGATGGGGAGCTAGTGACTGGATGAGAAAGACTTTAGGGGGCTGGTCATGTTTTCTATTTCTTGACCTGGATGTTGATTGCACTGTTCAATATTTTTAAGAATCGTTTTCTTTTTTTTTTTTTTAATTTATTAGCACTTGTAAGATTCCTCCTTCTTTCTACTGCTAAATTGTATTCCACTGTATAGATGTACCAAACAGTTTTACATCAATTCTCTATTATTTGCTTTCAAATAGTGTCCAGTCTTCTGCTCCTGCAAAGGATGCTGCAACATATAACCATTTATGTGCTTTTCCTATAAAACCAGGAAGCTGGTCCCACTTGTTGCTAAACCTAAACACACACCCAATACAGGCACTAAAACTAGGCAGTGCTTGATCAAAAGTGGGAATCTGTGCTAGATGATCCAGAATGTTGGATTGGCACATGAAAACACAACATTTTTAAAATTCCTTAGGAACTCTTAGCATCTTTGCATACGTTCGCACAAGTATCCTCACCACCACTCCACTCGGAGGTCCACATGTCCCGCTTTGGAAAATCACGTACTGACACAGTCTGGTTGATGATATAGAGGTGGCTGAGGATTTCTAGAGAGGAGAATTCTGAGCCTAATCTAGGGCAGAACTGCTGGTGATGTCAGGCGTTCTGAGGGAAATTGAGAGGGTGAAATCAATAATAGCGAGAAATTTCTTGCCCTGTCTCGGGTGCCACAGGTCCTGGGGATGTAGCAATGAACACAAGGCTCAAGCCTCTCTGTCCTCATGGGGCTCATTCTAGTGGGAATATGATAAATAAGTAAACAAGATACTTTCATATAGCAATAGTGCCTTGAAGGAAGAAAAAAATGTCACGATAGAGAGCATGCTGGGGCTGCTGTCAATAGGATAGTCAGGGAGGGCCTCTGAGGAGAGAAGTGAAAGGTTAAGAGGTCCTGAGCCTTTAGTGGCTCTGATGGAGAAGGCTTCTGGACAGAGGAAACAGCTAGTACAAAGGTCCTGAGATAGGATCAGCCTTGGTGTGTTTGAAGAAGGGAAATGTGGTTAGAGAAGGAAGCACTGGCGAGGACGTGTGAGGCAGTGAGGAAGCAATGAAGGGGGGCTGAGGTCATTGGTCTGCTCTCCCAAGTGGAGTTGAGGTCAGGCTGAGAGGCTGATACATGAGGTCAGTTGTTGCCAGAAGGAAGACCTAGGAGACTGGATGAGACCTTGTAAAGCAGTCTAGCTAAGGAATGTTGGCTCTGGGGAAGGAGATCCGTGGAAGGAGGGATTTGGGATATCTTTTGGTGGAGGGATCTGACAGGACGACCTCTGTGCTGAATGAGTCGGCTAGAAATGCCGGAACACAGCCCTAAGATGACCCATGGTTGTTGAAGTCACCACGCGCTGCATGTTTCTAGCCTAGATGCAAACTTTATGGATTCGTGACTATATACATAATTATGATTAGCTAATTTACTTGGAATTCTTGTTATTATGAGCCTCCTGTTCGGCAGTCCATAGTACTGATTGGTATTTTGGAAAGAACATTAAGCCAGCTAGAAAGTGGTCATGTTATTTATTCTTCTCTGCTCACAGGTGAATCTTAACTTTTCCAAACATGGAAAGGAAGCATCTTAGTCTGTGCCGGCTGCTGTAACAAAATACCACAGACTGGTGGCTTATAAACAACAGACATTTATTTCTCTCAGTTCTGGAGGCTGGGAAGTCCGAGATCAAGGCAGTGGTAGTTTTGATGTTTTGTGAGAACCTATTTCCTGGTTCATAGATGGTTGTCTTCTTGCTGTGTCCTCAGCTTGAAAGAAAGGGGAAAGCAGATCTCTGGGGTCTTTTCATTTTTATTTTTTTTAAGATTTTATTTATTTATGAGAGACACAGAGAGAGGCAGAGACATAGAGGGAGAAGCTGGCTCCTCGCAGGAAGCCCGATGTGGGACTCCATCCCTGGAGTATGGGATCACTCCCTGAGCCAAAGGCAGATGCTCAACCGCTGAGCCACCCAGGCATCCCTCTGGAGTCTTTTTTTTTTTTTTAATTTTTTTATTTATTTATGATAGTCACAGAGAGAGAGAGAGAGGTAGAGACACAGGCAGAGGGAGAAGCAGGCTCCATGCACCAGGAGCCCGACATGGGATTCGATCCCGGGTCTCCAGGATCGCGCGCTGAGCCACCCAGGGATCCCCTTCTGGAGTCTTTTTAAAAGAGAACTGATCCCATTCACAAAGGCTCCCCCTCACCCCTCCCATGACCTAGTCTCGTCCTTCCCTCCAGGTACCATCCCAATAGGGATTACGTTCAATATTTGAATTTTCGAAGAGCACTTTGAGTTCAGGAACACTCTGCATCTCTTCCAGATCACTCAGTTTCTGTGGCTTCCAAAGAGTATCACCCCCTCAAACGGGCAGCCACTTCATACTATTGGAGAATTGAGCAAAAATACTCCATTGTTAAGGGGCACTCACTCATTCTACCTGACTCGTGAGATCACAGGAAAGAGTTCTGGTATTTGAAGGCAGATGCAGTGATGTAAATGTGTTCAATTGACAGGGTTTGAGGGATGCCTCATTTATAACTTACAGGAGGAAGCTGTTTCCTTTTGGTTAGACGTTGCCCCACATCTGTGGTTTGGAGGGTTGACCAGAATAACAACTAAAAGCAGAAAAAAAGGTTTCTCTTAATGCTACTTTTACATTACATTTGACTCTGGAGCAACATGGGTTTGAACTGCACAGGTCCAGATTTTATTCGATACATACAGTAGAGTAGTGTAAATGAATTTTGTCTTCCACATGATTTTTTTTTGCATTTTTAAATTTAAATTTAATTTGCCAACATGTGGGATGCCAGTGCTCATCCCATCAAGTGCCCTCCTCAGTTCCATATGATTTTCTTAATAACATTTTTCTTTTCTCTAGCTTACTTTATTATAAGAATACAGTATATAGGGATCCCTGGGTGGTGCAGCAGTTTGGCGCCTGCCTTTGGCCCAGGGCGCGATCCTGGAGACCCGGGATCGAATCCCACATCAGGCTCCCGGTGCATGGAGCCTGCTTCTCCCTCTGCCTGTGTCTCTGCCTCTCTCTCTCAATCTGTGACTATCATAAATAAATAAAAATAAAAAAAAAGAATACAGTATATAATACATATACAAAATATGTGTTAATTGGCTCTTTACTGGTAAAGCTTTTGCAACAATAGGCTATTAGCAGTTAAGTTTTGGG